TGTCTCGTAAACATGCAAGATTTCAGGTACGTCTTGCTACTTCTACTTACACTTAGGTCACACTACACATACATGTACAAGCATATATATACACACCCCTCTGGGTTTTCTTCTATTTTCTTTCTAGTTCTTGTTCTTGTTTATTTCCTCTTATCTCCTTGGGGAAGTGGAACAGAATTCTTCCTCCGTAAGCTATGCGTGTTGTAAGAGGCGACTAAAATGCCAAGAGCAAGGGGCTAGTAACCCCTTTTCCTGTATATATTACTAAATGTAAAAGGAGAAACTTTCGTTTTTCCTTTTGGGCCACCCTGCCTCGGCGGGATACGGCTGGTGTGTTGAAAGAAAGAAAGAAAGATATATATATACATACACACACAGAATCACTTGACATGTTCCTAGAAGTGCTGCACCCTGTGGAAGTCTTTAAGACATGGTGTCATGCACAGTGGTGTTTTACACTCCTTACACAAAAAAATGAGTGTCTCTGCATTGTTGTGGGCATTTTTTTTGCATGTGCACAAACAAACACCTCTTCTGAGTCTTTTTCTTGGAAGCAGTAGCAGGCAGTTTGTTAGGAAGTGATCACCAGGGCTCAGATGAGAAGGTAATTGTTGATAATTTGGTGGGCGGTTTTCTATTGCAGGTGTTGTTACTTGGTACTTGAATATTATTTGTCTGATGACAGACAAACAAAATTCACCATATGGTGGTTTGTTTCTGGTCCTCATCTTATACATATTAGAGTGGACCCTCAGTTAACGACATCATCGGATAACTTAAAAATAGGATAATGACATGTTTATGCGTCAAAATATTGGCTGTTAAGGGACAAAGAACTCGGTTAAAGTCCTTCGTCCCGAACGTGTCTGCGTGGCCTAAGTTGTCCAGCCACTCCATGTATGGCCAGTGTGCCATTGTTTGCAAGTCAGTGAGGACGATTCCTTGTGTACATGCAATACTTTTTGTATTATTCCATTGTTTTTAGTGCTTTGTAACTGCTAAATTTAAGCCACCATGGGTCCAAAGAAAGCTTCTAGTGCCAGCCCTGTGGTAAAGAGGGTGAGAAAATACTATTGAATTCCAGAAAGAGATCATCGCAAAATACGAAAGTGGAGTGTGTGTCTCAGAGCTGGCCAGGTTGTATAACAAACCCATACAACCATCGCTACTATCTTGGCCAACAAAAAGGCAATAAAGGAAGCTGTTGTTGACAATGGTGCAAATATGGTTACAAAAACAGAGATCGCAAATACGTACTACTACTATAAGATGTGGAGAGACTGTTGTTGGTGTGGATCAATGAGAAACAATTAACCCCAGAGGGTTAACCACCCAGGATAACCCAATTAAGCCAGTGCATCATTGGGGTCCTTAATCTTGTCCCCCAGGATGCGACCCACACCAGTTGACTAACACCCAGGTGAACAGAAAAAAATGCCTGGAACTAGCGCTCATATTGGTGAATTTAAGGCCAGCAAAGGTTGGTTTGAGAGATTTAAGAATTGTAGTGGCATACACAGTGTGATAAGGCATGATGAGGCTGAAAAATTCCAACCCCCAATAAGTGTTCAATTGTGATGAAACAGGCCTGTTCTGGAAGAAAATGCTAAACAGGACCTACATTACTCAGGAGGAAAAGACACTCCGAGGACACAAGCCTATTAAAGACAAGCTAACTCTCATGTTTTGTTGTAATGCTAGTGGGGATTGCAAAGTGATGCCTTTACTTGTGTATCACTCTGAAAATCCCAGTGTGTTCAAGAAAGTGTCTCATCACTCATCAGTACTCTTCAATAAGGTAAGTGTCATTTTAGTATTTATTTATGTATTTTTTTCTGCATGTCTCATTGTTTTTTGTAGGGATATGTATATTTCATGTAAAAAAATTTGTTTAATACTTTTGGGTGTCTGGAAAGGATTAATTGAATTTCCATTATTTCTTATGTGGAAAATTAATTCAGATAACGACAGAATCTGTTAAAGACAAGCTCTCTGGAACGGATTAATGTTGTTAACTGAAGGTCCACTGTATAAGCATTGAGCATGGAAATGTCCAGAAGATGGAAAATGAGTTTTATGTACCACTAAAAAACTCTTTCAAACACAATTAGCAAACCAATCTGCATGTCACATTTGGGTCCACTGAATGCATATTGAGGGTGTAGTCCATCACAGCTGCAGGTTTTAGAATGGTTTCATTGGTCTCTCTATTCTGCCTGCCAGTGTCTGTCATTTCGTTAGGATGAACTATGATATGGCCTTGGATGCACTGGAAGAATGCTGATGTAATATACACAGACTTTGCAAAAACATTTGACAAGTGTGATCATGGCGTAATAGCGCACAAAATACGTGCTAAAGGAATAACTGGCAAAGTGGGGAGATGGATCTTCAACTTCCTAACCAGTCAACACAGAGTAGTGGTCATCAGAGTTAAATCGGAGGCTGCCATAGTGAAGAGCTCTGTTCCATAAGGTACAGTACTCACCCCCATTCTGTTCCTCATCCTCATATCAGATATAGACAGATGTAATCCACAGCACCGTATCATCCTTTGCAGACGATACTAGGATCTGCATGAGGCTGTCATCTATTGAGGACACGGTTAACCTCCAAGAAGATATAAATCAAGTTTTCCAATGGGCATCGGAAAAACAATATGATATTCAATGAGGACAAATTCCAACTGCTCCATTATGGAAAACTCTGGCCATACAATAGAGTGGAAAAAAAATGTAAGGGCCCTGGGAGTAGTAATGTCTGAGGATCTCACTTTCAAGGACAACAGTGCCACGATCACAAGTGCAAAGAAATGATAGGAGGATAATGAGAAGTTCAAAACGACCCAATGATGATGTTTTCAAATATTGTTCTCTCTAGGCTAATCTTGTACATTAACATCTCCTTTAAAAGAGGGAAATTGCAGATTTAAAAGGTGTACAGGAATCTTTACTGATGTAAAAGTTCTATAAAGTACCTGAATACGGGAACGCTTGGAAAGAATTTGATTTGTACTCGTTGGAAGCAGGAAAACCCAGAATGAAGGTCCTGAATCGCACACAGAAATCACTCTTAGAAAGCAAAAGATGGGCAGTGAGGAAAAAAAACCCCCCAATTAAAAGTAGGGGCACCATTGGTACACCGGAAAAAAACACCATAAGTGCCCGGGGGGCCCAAGACTGTTCAAACAGCCCCTACCAAGAAAAGGGGGGAAATTCCCAAATAGGCCCCTGGCTGCCTTCAAGGGGACTGGACAGATCCTAAAGTCAGTGGGGGATCAGCTGGGCTGTGGTTTGTATTTGGACTATGGGGCCAGCAGAAAACAGCCTGGTTGATCAGGCCCTGATCCATGGGAGGCGGTGTGGACTGGGTCGGGGGCATTGATCCCCAGAATAACCTCCAGGAGACCCCAGGAAACTGATGACAAAAGTGTGAAAATATTTTTTGTCATGCCACCAAAATGCCACGATGTTTTTGGCGCAAAAGCCTGCCCCTGCCTTTTGAGTGCCGCATCGAACCCCATGATATGCTTAAGATTTGCACGCACTCTACGCACACATTGTCATGTTCCTCACAAAAAAAACAATGAGTAAGGGGTTTTGTACCCGTTATCGTATATAATATATGCCCCCTTTCCAAGAATGGGTTTCCCTCCTGTTCTAACCCCATCCCAGAGTACCCATTACATCTGGTATTTGCAATGTTTACTTCCAGTGTACACAGAATATCCCAAAACAAACACTGTAGCAATACAAAGCACAAAAACTTTATACCAAAGTGTTTCCTCTTGCTTGGATATATGCTTGAAGACAAATCTACCTTTGAAAAGAAAAAGACTCATCAATAACAGCTTTAAGGGATAAAATACTATTGAATTTCTGTTTCAGATACACAAACACATTCCTAATTTTTATTAACCTGTCGTTTCTGTCAGGCCGGTTTTGTTGAGAAGTGTAACATACGTAGTAGTGACAAATCGATTCCTCATATTATATCACGAAACCTGGGGTTGCTTTAGGCGTTCTTTGACCCGTATGATTTGGACACTGGGGCTTATAGTACAATGTGGCTAAGTTATTGGGCAAAGAAAAGTACATCTCGCCACGTTGTCTCCTTCCACTGGTGTAGGGGTAATTTTTGGTGAAAGTATTGTGTTTGCCCTGGTGGAAACGAAGTATCTGTTGCTTTTTCCCCGCAATAATTTTCCTCAGGGGTTTGTCAAAAAAAAAACTCGAAACATTCTAAATTCAGTGGCATTGTTCCCAAGTGTCAGATGGGCGTATTCCCCTTTGACTTTCATCAAACTGATGGGGATTGGAAACAAAATTGTCAGCTTTGCCAAACCCAGGTCGGGGTTTCTGGTGGGTCTGGTTTGACAGGTGGTTGTGGAGGTTTGGGGTGGGGGGTGGGTGGGGGGTGGGGCCTTTGTTGTAGTTCAGCTGAGTCAGCGCGTGGGTACAATGAAAGTGAAAAAAGAGGCCCCGACCAGAGGTTGAAGGTTAGGGGGCATCTGGTTTTTTGCCCCTTCCGGTATTATGGTATTAGTTTCGGTCACAATCATAAAAATTTTAAAAATCATCAAAACGCCTTCCACTGTATTAAAAGTTATGGGAAACAAAAGTGTCCCAATCCCTGAGGGTGAGGTGTTTTTCTGGGGTGGGGACCAAGGTGATTAAAAAGGGGGGTTCCCAAATGCACCACGGGTCTCCGATTTTTTTCCTATGTGCACACTGACCACACAGCCCCCTTCTCTCACAACTAGGCCTACCGCCCTTTTTCCCCCTTGATTTGAAGGGACTAGAATTTTTGCGTACTGTATTTCAATACCCTGGCAGTAAGATGTATGTAGGTGAAAAAAACCCCTAGAGTTGTTCATGCCTTGCTGTTTCTTAATTTATAATTTTATTTTTCTTAAAATCATTTTGCAATTATATCCCATATATTTATTTTACTAATTATAAAAATATTCTAATTAAAAGTTTTTTTTATTTCAGCATGAGAATAATGGTTAATTCCAATCACATGCTACTGTTGTAGTATGCTTCGATTCTTCATTGAATTACTTGCTGGTCTATGGCGCATCATTCTGGTTATGATTGGGCTTGGTACACCACAAACAGCAATCTCGGACAAGTTAGAAATCTTTGTCAGGACCAATACTGGGGAAAAGGTGAGCTACAACATTAAAACTTGTTATTAATTACATTTGATTCCAATATGTCCACTGCCATTATGTAGTTGCAACATTTTGTTTGAAAAAGTATGCATGGGGCTCTAACTCTTGGCAGTGTGCACACATGAAAGCCAGTGTGCACACTGACCTGTGATTTTTGGGGACTCAACTGCCATGGGTCCCACCCATTATGTGATTTGATTGCAGTCATGTTATTACTGTTTTATGAGTCATTTTGTTTGAAGTTTCTAGTTTTATTCTATTAAAGAGCTGTACAGTGGACCCTCAGTTAACGATGCTATGGTTTAGCGATAAATTGGATACCGATGCTTTTTTGTGTCAAATATTGGCTCGGATAACAATGAAAAATTCAGTTTAAAGGGCATTTGTTCTGACATGTCCCGCAGCCTGAGCCCATGTAAGGGTAGTGTGCCATTGTTTACAAGCCAGGGAGGACAATTCCACGCGTACATGCGATATATTTTGTATTATTCCATTTGTTTTAAGTGCTTGTAACTGCTAAATAAGCCACATGGGCCCAAAGAAAGTTTCTAGTGCCAGCCCTGTGATAAAGAAGGAAAGAAACACAATAAAATTCAAGAAAAACTCGTAGCAAAGTACCAAAGTGGAGGAGGAAGAGAGAGGGGAGAATTGCCTTCTGCAGTGATTCTACAATAGTACGATACTAAAGCGCAGGTATCGATAAAGGCTTTTAGTGCCAGCCAGCAACAAAGTGTAGAATTAAAGCGTAGCAAAAAAGATAAGTAAGTAAGCGATAGAAAAACGACATGAAAGTAACTGTCCAATGTTGTTGGATGTGTTTCGGGCCAATGAATATAACGCCGCCCTGCTACGTATCTTCCACCACCCTAAACCCTGCCAGCATCTCCTCCCTAAAACTAACTAATTAAACTTACATCTCCAAGGTAAGTGTAAATATAAAAAGTAAGTATAAAAGTAAATATAAGTGTAAATATAAAGGACCCCAATGGAAATAAGTCACTTTGACTCTTTTGGGTTATCCTAGGTACTTCACACACATGTGCTATGTATGATAATCTATGTACGTAACTGTATTTGTGTATACCTGAATAAACTTACTTACTTATTTATAAATTAAAATGAATATTTTTATTTATAAATTAAAATATAAATATTTCTTATTTATAAATTACATACATATATTGTTTGTGGATAGTGGTGGTGGCAGAAGCCTTCTCCACCACTAATATGTACGGTTTCTCTCAGTGGCCATTATAAAATCAACAACAACACTTGCAGTACTTTCTCCTCACATACATTATGACATTATTTTATTCATTCTAGAGTTTATATCATATTTCCATGTTATTAATATTGTTTATTATTTTTATTTATTTTTATTTATTATCACACCGGCCGATTCCCACCAAGGCAGGGTGGCCGAAAAAGAAAAACTTTCACCATTCATTCACTCCATCACTGTCTTGCCAGAAGGGTGCTTTACACTACAGTTTTTAAACTGCAACATTAACACCCCTCTTCAGAGTGCAGGCACTGTACTTCCCATCTCCAGGACTCAAGTCCGGCCTGCCGGTTTCCCTGAATCCCTTCATAAATGTTACTTTGCTCACACTCCAACAGCACGTCAAGTATTAAAAAACATTTGTCTCCATTCACTCCTATCAAACACGCTCACGCATGCCTGCTGGAAGTCCAAGCCCCTCGCACACAAAACCTCCTTTACCCCTCCCTCCAACCCTTCCTAGGCCGACCCCTACCCCGCCTTCCTTCCACTACAGACTGATACATCTTGAAGTCATTCTGTTTCGCTCCATTCTCTCTACATGTCCGAACCACCTCAACAACCCTTCCTCAGCCCTCTGGACAACAGTTTTGGTAATCCCGCACCTCCTCCTACTTCCAAACTACGAATTCTCTGCATTATATTCACACCACACATTGCCCCTCACCACACATTGTCATTAGATAAATTGTGATAGATAAATAAGCGTAGAGATATTAGCGTCGTATTGAAGCATATAAACTTGCCTTCCTCTCGCCTCCTACATGTCTGCTACACCCCCTGCATGTCTGCTACACCCCCTGCATGTCTGCTACACCCCCTGCATGTCTGCTACACCCCCCTGCATGTCTGCTACACCCCTCTGCATGTCTGCTACACCCCCTGCATGTCTGCTGCACCCCCCTGCATGTCTGCTACACCCCCTGCATGTCTGCTACACCCCCCTGCATGTCTGCTATACCCCCTGCATGTCTGCTACACCCCCCTGCATGTCTGCTACACCCCCCTGCATGTCTGCTATACCCCCCTGCATGTCTGCTATACCCCCCTGCATGTCTGCTACACCACCTGCATGTCTGCTACACCCCCTGCATGTCTGCTACACTCCTTGCATGCCTGCTGCACTCCCTGCATGTCTGCTACACTTCATCAAACTAACTATTAAACTAACATCTTCTCCAAGGTAAGTGCAAATATTTCTTATTTATAAATTACAGTGGAACCTCTACTTGCTAGTTTAATCCATGCTATGACCTTGCTCGCAACGGGATTTGCTCATTTGCAGAGACAGTTTTTCTCATTTAAATTAATTGAAATACAATTAATCCATTCCAGTGGAATTCTGTATTTCAGTAATTTCGCTAATATCAACTTTACGGCTTATTTATCTATCTCACTTGATCTGATATGACATAATAAACAATATAAATAATATAGAAACCTGATATATACTCTAAAATGAATAAAATATGTAATTCGTGTAGTGGTATGGGCGGTGTCGGCGGTGGACGAGAGAGTGCCTGGAGACCGGACAAAATACTTCTTGAATAATTTCGCTAATATCATCTGTATGGCTTATTTATCTATCACAGTTCATCTGATATGACATAACAAACAATATAAATAACATAGAAACCTGATATATACTCTAGAATGAATAAAATATGTCATATGTGTGGCGGCAGCAGAGGAGGCCAAGAGAGTTTGTCTGGAGACAGGGCAAAATGCTCCTTGAATATTTCGCTATCATCAAATCTACTATTTATTTATCTATCACAATTCATCTAATATGAAATAATAAACAATATAAATAACATAGAAACCTGATATATACTACTCTAGAATGAATAAAATATGTCATTATGTAACAGGTGGAGGCAGCCACAACCACTCCATCTTTGATGTGGTAAACACTGCCATCTAATGACGGGCTTTTGAAGCTGTCTGTTATTATAATTATTATTATGTAGTACATTATTATATATGTATTATTATTATGCATATTATATTATTATTATTCTGTAAATTCTGTAGACGGGGAGATGGAGGTATTGGGTAGATGGCGAGAATACTTTGAGGAACTTTTAAATGTCAATGAAGAAAGTGAGGCGGTAATTTCATGCACTGTCCAGGGAGGTATTACCATCTTTTAGGAGTGAAGAAGAGCAGGATGTAAGTGTGGGGGAGGTGCGTGAGGCATTACATAGAAAGAAAGGGGGTTAAAGCAGCTGGAGCTGACAGGATCATGACAGAAATGTTAACCCTTTCAGGGTTTTCGACGTACTAGTGCAGCTTACGCACCAGGGTTATTGATGTACTAGAACGCCTAAATTCTAGAGCCTTCAAATCTAGCGAGAGAAAGCTGGTAGGTCTACATATGAAAGAATGGGTCTATGTGGTCAGTGTGCGCAGTATAAAAAAATCCTGCAGCACAGTGTGTAATGAGAAAAAATAAAAAGTGACCATATTTTTGGATTAAAACAGTGACTTTGCACTGTATTCTCGTATGGTATTTATGGTTGTATTCTAGTTTTCCTGCTTTCATTTTATAGAATGGAAGACATATTACAGAAATTGAGATGATTTTGAGCTCAAAGTAGCAGAAATGTTCGATTTTTACCAAAGTTCAAAAGTAAACAAATCATGCCAAGCATCCAATACACATCAACTGGTGAGTCTAATATTCTTTCACAAGTCCGCTGATATTATTTATACCATTTCTACACTAACGCAGAAGTCTGCATAACAGTAAATCTTCTGTTTTTTTGTAAGAAGAAAAATTCAAAGTGGAAAGCAAAAGAAATATAAGAGGGGCCTGGGGACGTGATTAACGAAAAGAGAACTTGTCATTTTAGTGCCAGGAATGTCTGTCTTGTTTATTCTGGACCCTATTTGGAAATTGGCATCTTTTGAAATTTGTGTGAAATTGGCAAAATTGCCAATTTCTAACCGCCTTATTGGATAGTTGAAATTGGTAAATGGGGGTTTCTTGTACTCATTCGATAGAACAAATGGAGTTCTAGTGAAATAAATATGATTTTTGTCGACTAGTACATTGGAATTGGCTGAAAATAGGGCTCAAAGTTGGCGAAAATCGCCGATGTTTATGCATCGACAAGACTACTAACTTCATGAGAACATAATTCCATACATTTTCCATCAAATTTCTTACTTTTGGTGTCATTATGATCGGGAAAAGTTTTTATCATTTCATAAGAAAATAATTTTTTTTTTCCGAAAAATTTTTGACCCTGAGAACAAGTTTAGGAGAGGGCCTCTCGACCCTGAAAGGGTCAAAAGGGGATGATATAGTGTTGTAGTGGTTGGTATTTTTGTTTAATAAATGTATGAAAGAGGGGAAGGTACCTAAGGATTGGCAGAGAGCATGTATAGTCCCTTTATATAAAGGGAAAGGGAACAAAAGAGATTGTAAAAATTATAGAGGAATTAGTTTACTGAGTGTATCAGTCTGTAGTGGAAGGAAGGCGGGGTAGGGGTCGGCCTAGGAAAGGTTGGAGGGAGGGGGTAAAGGAGGTTTTGTGTGCGAGGGGCTTGGACTTCCAGCAGGCGTGCGTGAGCGTATTTGATAGGAGTGAATGGAGACGAATGGTTTTTAATACTTGACGTGCTGTTGGAGTGTGAGCAAAGTAACATTTATGAAGGGGTTCAGGGAAACCGGCAGGCCGGACTTGAGTCCTGAAGATGGGAAGTA